TCTACTCTACTCTACTCTACGACAATCTACTCTACGATATTCTACTCTAAGACACCCTACTCTCCTCTACGACACTCTACTATACTCTACTCTATGACACTTTATGCCACTGTACTATACTCTATGACACTGTACTCTACTTTACTCAACCCTACTCTACTTTGCTCTGCTCTACTCTACGACACTCTACGACACTCTACGACACTCTATTTTAGGACACTCTACTCACTCTACGACACTCTACGACACTCTACGACACTCTACGACACTCTACTTTAGGACACTGTACTCACTGTACTCTACTCTACGACACTCTACTCTACAACACTCTACAACACTCTACAACACTCTACTCTTTAGCACTCTACAACACTCTTCTCTACAACACTTTACTCTACGACACTGTACTCTACTCTGCTCGACGACAGTCTACTCTACTCTACGACATTCTAGGACACTCTACTCTACTCTACGACACTCTCCTCTACTCTATGTTACTCTATGATACTCTACTCTACTCCACTGTACTCTATGACACTCTACCCTACGACACTCTACGACACTTTACTCTTCTCCACTCTACTTCACTCTACTCCGCGACACTCTACTCTTCTTTTCTCTACTCTGTTGTACAACAATCTACTCTATGATACTCTACTCTACTCTACGATACTCCACTGTACGACAATCTACTCTACGATACTCTACTCTACGGTACTCTACTCTACGACACTCTAATCTGCTCGACGACACTCTACTCCACTCTATGACACTATACTCTACTTTACTATACTCTACTCTACTCCACTCTACTCTATGATACTCTCCTCTCCTCTACTCTATTCTACGACACTCTACTCTCCTCTATTCTCTACGATACTGTATTATACTCTACTCTACGACACTCTACCACACTCTTTGACATTCTATGACACTCTACTCTACTTTACTCTATGACACCGTACTCTACTCTACTCTATGACACGCTAGTCTACTCTACTCTTCTCTACTGTACTCTACTGTAGTCTACAGTCTACTCTATGACACTCCACTTTGTGATACTCTACTCTATTTTACAACACTCTACGACACTCTACGACACTCTCCTTTACTCTATGGTACTTTCTTTATCGTTTCAGTAGTTTTGGTTGCGGGCATAACCTGCACCGCCCACACCGCAGACGCTAAGCTATTTGTCAATTAAACTCAGACTTCGTAGCCAGTTTTAGGCGATTCTTTATTACCCTGTGATTCTTTATTTTATTTTTTTTAAGTATGTCTCAGTTAATGCGAGTGGTCCGTGTCAGGTTGCCTACAACATTTTTTATTTCTGCGGGCATGGCCGTAGGCGCTTAGCTAGTGTGTTATATAGTTGAACTTTTACACTGTTTTTTTTTTTTTTTTTTTTTTTTTTTTT